AATAAAAATTTTGGTAACAAAGAATGGTGGAAGCATGTTAAATCGTATGTGACAAAGCAGAACAACCCTAAAAACAATCTACCTCCACTTATTAAAAACGGTATTCCAATCTTTACTCCTGAAGAAAAAGCTAATGTTTAAATAACTTTTTCATTAACCAGTCACAATTGGACGCCAACAATGCACCACTTGAACTTAAACAAAACGAAAACGCCCTTACTCACATCCTACTTACATCCGAAGAAGTTAAAGACATTATCTCCTGTATTGATACAACAAAAGCGATTGGCCCAGACCAAATCAGCGGAAAACTTTTGAAAAATATCAAATCCGAAATTAGCTCACCTCTTTGTACTTTGTTTAATCTATCTCTTTCAACACATCATGTACCCTTTATTTGGAAAACAGCAAACGTCACAGCCATCCTTAAGAAGGAGAACCTTCAAACTGCAGTAATTATAGACCCGTATCACCTCTCAGAATTGTAGTTAAAATATTCGAAAAATGTATCTATAAACATGTCTTCAACTTCTTAAGGGCCAACACAATAATAACCCATTTGCAAAGCGGTTTTCTGCACGGTGAATCCACTACCTATATACTAATAGACCTTTCACACTTTTTTTGTCAAGCCATCAACAAAGGAAAATACACAAGGGCGGTGTTCTGTGACATCAGGAAAGCTTTTGATAGAGTCTGGCATGCTGGACTCTGTCATAAGCTTGGGGCTGTCGGGATCAGAGGCGACCTCCTCCTTTGGTTTAAAAACAGACAACAACAAAGTGTTATAGTGAGTGGAGTCTCCTCTGGTTCCAGCTCAGTCCCTGCTGGTGTCCCACAGGGCTCTGTCCTTGGCCAATTACTATTTCTCATCTACATAAATGACATTTTTGAAAATATCCAGTCGAACATCCGTCTTTTTGCCGACGATCCAAGCTTATATTTGAAAAATGGTGACCCAAACTCATGCACGGAGGTTTTGAATCGAGACCTTGAAAGTATTAGTATTTGGTCAAAAACGTGTTTGGTTTCCTTTAACCCGCTGAAGACTGAAACACTCGCACGAACTACTAAACGAAACCTACCTCTTCCAACTTTAAAATTTTACATTAACATCTTGGGCTCACATTTCAAACAAACTCTCAATGGGATAAACATATTTGGTCGATTTTAACAAAAACTGGTAAACTTGTAAATTGTTTAAGATCCTTGAAACACCGTCTTAGCAGAAAATCTTTCCATACGATCTATACTTCTTTCATTCTTCCCCATTTTGACTATTGCGATATTATATGGGATGGGAGCACAGCAGAACTAACTACGAAACTTGATGCACTCAGGACTATATGCGGTGCTGTGAGGGGAACCAGTCACCACTTGCTTTATAAAGAAACTGGATTTACAAGTAGTATATGTCTTTTCGGATATCGGATATGCTTTTCTTCGTCGTAACACGGTAGGTAGCATGACTTTAACGGGAGAATCCACCACGTGGCCAATTACCAACACCGTCAAACCAGCGAGATATCTAATGGTCGGTTTCAAAAACTTGCCAGACTCTCAGACAAACAACAACAACATTTTCAGAGTGGCATTGAACCATACTCAAGATCCCATCATTCGCAAAGTTCAAGTCAGATTGAACAACGATAATTATCCCAATCAACCTTTGACAATTGATCCTTCCAAAAAAGATTACAACGAATTGTACAGAAACTATAAGAACATGTGCGAATTGTTTGGAAATACGCCTCAGTTTGAATACACAGATTTTTCACTCAATCATCCAATCTTTTGTTTCGATCTGCCAGCTCATCAAGAAGATCTGTTCAAAACAGGGGTAAACATAAATATTCACATCGATAAAACACAAGGAGATGTGACCGGCTACTGTTTATTGCTGGAAGAAGCAAAACATTTGATTAAAATATCAGATAGAAGAATGATAAGAATTGAATAAAAAAACACCCTTTAAAAATGAAACCAGAAACTTTAGTTATGAAAATAATAGAAGCTATGGAAACGAATTCGCCGACTCTAATAACTTACAACGGTAAAAAAGTGCATATAACCCAAAAGATTATCGATAAATACAAACATTGCAAAGTCAGAGACGATATAGACTTGGAAAGAATTGATGAGAATTTAACTAAAAAAGGTGGATTTTTACCTTTCTTACCTTTAATCTTTGCTGGTTTAACTGCAGCTGCTGGGATAGCCAAAGCTGTCAACGATAAGAAAGCTGAAGCCGCTGCAAACGCCGAAGCGCGTAGACACAATTTGGCAATGGAAAGAGAAGCACGAGGAGGTTCGGGAGTAGGAGATATATTAGGGACGGTTAAAGAATTCGGACAAAGATTTGGCGAAGAAACCAAGAAAACCGTTAAAGAGGGATTAAGCAAATTAATAGATAAAATCGACACTGGAGAAATGAAGGTCAAACACAAGGGCAACGCCATATTTTTTAAAAACATACGTTCGGGCGAGGGAATCTCCT